AAAATATTAACTATCATTGAGAAAAAATATTAAAATTCACACAAATTATCTGCCACATATAGTAAATCCCAATCTCTGTTAACATTTTAATTTATATTCTATTTTTAGAATATCTGTATTGTGATCTAATTCTTATTTTCAATTACTATGTTGTCATAAAAAAGAATTTTTATCTCATTCTTCATCAAAAAGTCCTTAGATATTAATTATAGATTTTGGGTATGAACACTATGTTTCCTGGCTCAGTATTGCTACATGGAATCATACAAATAATTCCTAAGTGATAGTTTTTGTATTACTATAAATAACAGGAGCATATAGTTTAAGAAGATTCATCCTCTGAATTTTTTCAAAAAGACAATTAGGGGGGAAAAAAGAGACATTTTTGTCAAACAACTTAAATGTGATAGGTCTGTTCCTCCTACTATGGATTTTCATACCATGAAGCAAATGAATTGGCAATCTAAAATAATACTTCTATGGTTTGGAAACTCAAAAATTAACTAAAAGAAATTCTGTCATTCACTGTATGCTGTGTTTTAATATACTTGAAAATAGTCTCCCTTTCAGTTTAAACTGTCAGTGATCAAGGTTATGTATGAAATCATCAGATTAGGCCATTTTGTCTTATCAGAGAAACAAATATTGTAGAATAAAAGGAAGTAAACAAAAAATACTTTTAAGTAAAAATCTCAAACTTACTAAAATTATGTAATTTTAATTCAGATTAAATCTCCAAAGTAAAATATATTCTTTATATCAAAATTATAAAAAATATAAAAAGAATATTTATCAAAGGCCCTTAAACTATAATTTTTTTTCCTCCTAAATACTGACAATACCTCTAATTAACAGAAGGGAGAATATCACTGTATCCAAAAATATCTTATATTTGTGCCTTTGGGAATGACATGTGCTCTTGGATATATGAGCTGTAAAAACCAGTGAATGCTCATATCCTGTTTTAGTAACAGTCACTCATCAAAAAGTACATTACCAGTAAATGGAAATAGGGAACTCTGTCTTTTTCACATTACTATCTACTTAGTAAAATGAATATTCTTTAGTAACTATTATCATAGGCAAATAAGACATTTGTAAACCATTATGAAAAAATTTTAAGACAGTGACTAATACCTTCACGATGACCAAAAAACATTTTTTTCCCTTAAAGACACCAACCAGGTATACATAAATATAATCAATTCTGAAGTCTCTTTTTAAAAGCATTTAATTAATTTATTTTGCGGTGCTGGGGATTGAACCCAGGACCTTGTGCATGACAGGCAAGCAGTTTACTACTGAGCTACATCCCCAGTTCTCAATTTTTAAATCTTGACAGGTATACTTCTTTTAGCATTACTGCCAAATAAACTCTATATTCATAATCTTAAAATGAAAAAGTATGAATTTAGAACAATTTCTAAAGCAAAAAGGTATAAGTATCACAACTTTCTGATACCTTTATTTTTTGAACACACTATTTCATTTCTTCTATCTAGCTGAAATGTTATGACCTTTCCTGGAAGGAAAAGTAAAACCATATGATCAATGGTAACTGAAACTTTTATAGCATTTGGTCATTTAGAAGCTCTTTCCCTTATATTTTTTATGTAATCAAAATCAAAATTATGTATCACTATCCTGATTATAATGATGACAAAACATACAAAGTTTAATTCAGATTAAATACTTAGGCATAAAGTAAACAGGTGACTATATTCAAACTGATGTCTCCAGATTTTAAATACGATTCTCTTTTCAATATATTATGTTTTCTTATATAAGAATAATAACAATAGCAAATATTTACTAAGTTCTTACTGTGCATCAGGAACTGCTGTAAGAATCCTCATAATATGGGGACCAGAGATATACCTCAGTGGTAGAGCACCTGTTTAGCAGTCTCCAGCATCATCAAAAAGAAAAAGTCATCACAATAACTCATGATGCAGGCACTAGTAATATGCTCAAGGCCTCATACATGGGAAGAAAAAGCCACGAATCACACTCAGCCTGACTCCGGAGTTCACACTCTAACATGCTAATAACATATCTCTACTTGTATGTGTACAGAGACTTGTATATGCCTTTGGAGGAAAACTGAGAGGCAACAGGACATGGAAAGAGGAGAGATCTTTCTCCATGTACATTGTATGTATTTCTTCAAGTCCAGGGAGAGGAAGGAGGCAAGGGTAAAAGGAATATCATAATCATAGAATTCCAAGAAAAAAAGGCATAGAATCAAGAGAGTCCTGAAGAATCTAATGGAAAAATTATTTTTTAAAAAACACCTAGGTGGCTTGAGCATTTACTGTGAAAAGTGAAAGAAAGAGTACATAAGATATTTTTAACAGCAGGCTGATATTCTAAGAACTCAGAACTTTCCTATCTGAGGAAGAAAGTCACTTAATTTTTCGAAGAGGAACTTGAGGAAAAAAAAAAAAAGCTAGATGGAACAGAGAATGAGAAACTGGAGCAGAGAAACCAGTTCAGAGGGCAAGAAAACAAACTTCAAAACTAGTGAAAAAACAACCCTGCCTGTTAACCTCTCTTAGTCTTTAGCAACCCTTTAAGGCTAACATTATTTCCGCTGAATATTTAAAGATGTCATCCCTAGTGCCCTGAACAATATTTGGAAAACAGTAAATACTCAATAAATATTTACTGAATAAAAGAAAGAAAAGGTTGAGCCTGAATTCAAAGCTAGACTATCTACACTAATGCCTCTGGACTTTTTCATTATGTTCAATAGTATTCTTAATTCAATAATCCAGACAACCTTTTAACATCTCATGATAACAGGACTGGGACTTGGGATAAAGAAGAAAGGTTTAATCTTATAAAGAAAGAGAATAGTCCAGTAATATTACTGCGAAGAGTAAATGAAATAATGTGTATCTAATACTTGGAACAGAGCTTGACAAACATCTGCCAAAACAAAATAATAATGATAACTACTACCACTATTATCAGTTCTTACTCCTGTAAATAGTGTTACTGGTAATCTGAAAAGAATTTTGGAAAGGTAAGAAGAATGAATACACTGTTAGATTAGAACCCCCAAATTAAGAGGCAGCATAATAAAATATACTGATTCTTTTTTTTTTTTTTTTTTGGTGGTACTGGGAATTGAAATCAGGGATGTTGCACTACCATTAAGGTACTCCCCAGCCCTTTTTATTCTTTGAGTCAGGGTCTCGCTAAGTTGCTCAGGCTGGCCTTGAACTTGCAATCCTCCTGTCTCAGCCTGCCACGTGGCTGCACCACCATGCCTGGCTTGATTTTTTTTTTTTTAACCTTACTGAAAGGTCTACAATTCTTTGGAAAGCATATACACATCAAGAGAAATGAGGTATGTGTTGAAGACCAAAGAACTTAATAACTCATGAAAAGAAAGAGCTTCTACAGGATCTGGATCCCAAATCAGGCTTTATAAATTGTACATCATTTGCTTTCATTAATATTCAATTTCCTTATTAACAAAATGAAGTTGGACTAAAACAGTCTACAGTTTCTTTATAGTTAAACAATATAACATTCTTTAGGTACAGAGCTTAATACTTAGTCCCTCCCAAATTAAAGTAAAAAGAGAAATCAATATTTTAGTTGATAAAAACAATGCCACATTAGCAAACTACTGGTAGGATTCCCATGTTAGCCTTTTTGCTTTAAGAGCTTCAAATCTATCTTATCACAGGCAGTGTTATGAGTTTTGAATCCTCACAAGTGCTAAAGTTCTACACAACTTCCCGTTCCCAGGGCCTAAGGCAGGAGGATCAGTGGCTCAGTTTGGGAGGCTAAGGCAAGAGGATCAAGAATTCAAACCCAGCCTCAACAACTTAGCATGGCCCTAAGCAACTCAGTGAGACCCTATCTCTAAATAAGATACAAAAATAGGGCTGGGGATGTGGCTCAATAGTTAAGTGCCCCTGAGTTCAATCTACGGTATTCCCTGCCCCCCCCCCCCAAAAAAAAAAACCCAGAAAACAAAACTCTATTGAGAAGCAATCCTAAATCCCAATAAGTCTACTTAATTTTTTAAGATGAGGATGGAAAAAATATCATAATACAATTAAAATTCTTGCTTTCATGAGAAATGATTCAATTTGAACAGGTTCTAGACATTACCAATAAACAAGCATCTTTGATTTTGTGCCCAATGCTAAGAAATATACAAAATGGCACATAACTATTTGGCTTACAGAACATGAAGATGAATTACACTGGGCAATCCATTCGACTTTCTCAAAATGGAATCAAAAAGAGATCCTATAAGCTGGAAAATTTTTTAAAAAATATTTATTTCTTTTAGTTGTACACAATGCCTTTATTTTTATTTATTTATTTTTATGTGGTGCTGACAATTGAACCCAGGGCCTTGCATGTACAAGGTGAGTGCTCTAGCGCTGAGCCACAACCCCAGCCCCTAAGCTGGAAATCTTAATCTGGCTACAGAGACATATAAATTGCTGATAATATCTACAAATGGATTTCTTCAAAGAATTGAACAGTTTCAAACATTTCCTTTTGTATGGCCATCAACCCTAGTAGTCTAGATAAGCTGCCATCAGTCATCTCTGGATCACTGTAACAGCTGCTCAGCTGATCTCCCCAGATGCAATCTTTCCCCTCCAATCTGTTCTCCACAGAATGTTCTTTGTAAAAGAACAAATTTGATCACACCAGTGACGTCCTCTGACTCCTTCCAGGTAAGGTATTTCAGTGATTTACCAGAACTTAATGATAGGCCAAAATGTTAACCAGGCTTCTTAAGGGTTACATAGTTCGATCCCTAATCCCATTCTAGTTTCATCCAACCACATGCTCCCTCTTATCCTTCTCAATGCTCCAACCAGTTTGCTGGCTTAATTTTTTCCAAATGCCAGTGATATGCTGGCTGGGAAAGTGTTTTGGAGAACCATAAAACATGAAAGGGGGATAAATTCATAAGACATGTAGGTTTGTTTTTAAAAAGTTATACTTAAGCATATACTTACTTTTAAACTTCATCTAAAAGTGAGGGGAAATTAAAGAACAGAGTTATCCAGACATCTGAGGGAAGTGGAAAAATCTTGAAGATGCTTGCTGGTGACTTTTTTAAGACAAGAAGGGTGCTGTAACAGGAGAGCAAAGAGTGGTGATTAGGAGATAAGGTAGGAGGTGAAACAGAGTTAAATGCAGGCCTTTGGGCCATGGTAAGGATTTTGGCTTTTACTTGGTATGATACAGGAAATCACTGGATGGTTCTTAGCAGAGAATGTCAAGTTTCCATGGAAATTTTTGGAAGATTCTCTCTTGGCTATGAAAGAGGACATTAAAGGCAAAGTTAGGAAGAACAATCTGAAGGCAGCTGCAGTGGAGGTGGTAAGTGTTAGTTTCCAGATATGTTTTGAAGATAAGGGTCAAACAGGAGAGAAGCTGGGAGAAAAAACAACTGCTCTAAAAACAAAACAACACAACAAAAAAACCAATCTAGAGTGAATAAACACCAAACCACAGACTCAGAAACTTCATAGAACATCAAGCATGATAAATACCAAAAGATTTACACTGGGGGGCGTATATTCAAACTACAGAATATTAGATTTAAAATGTTGAAAAAAGCTAGAGGAAAAGAGAAGCAAAAATAAGAATTACATTAGATTTTTTCAGAAACAGGCAAGCAAGAACAGTGCGAAGTGAAATTATTTAAAGTGTTAAAAACAAAAACAAAACAAAACCCTACCAAGCCGACAATTCTGCCCCCAGCTCAATTGTTCTTCAAACTGAAGAAGAATCACACTTCTTCAAACAAAAATTGAGGAAAACTGTCACCAGCAGACCTGCTTTGCAAGAAATGTGACAAGAAATTCTTCAGAAAGAAGGAAAATGGGGATGGGGTTGTGGCTCAGCAGGAGAGCGCTTGTCGAGCATGTGCAAGGCCCTGGGTTCGATCCTCAGCACCACATAAAAATAAATAAATAAAATACAGGTATTGTGTCGAGCCATCCATGGGCTATGTGCATGAGTTATATCCATTTGAGCATACGGGAGAACTAGCCTGGTATGGGAGAACTATCCTGTTGTTGTGTGCTCTTTGGGCTGTGTGTGCCCTTTCCTCTTGCTCTGCCTATGTTCCCACATGGAATCTGAGATGGGTGTGACTTGCCAAGATGGTGATCAATCTACTGACCACAAGATATCATGAAGTCAGACTCAACTCCCTGAAACCCTTGCCTTATTTGGGTGGAATATTCTATGAATGGCTTCTTCCAATAAATCGGGGGTTTCAGGTGTGCTGGCTCTCTTGTCTGCCTCTTGCCTCCCTTGCTCTCCAGGCCCTCCAGCATGGGAGCTAGATTTTTGAGGCTGCAGAGCTGTCCTGAACCCCGAAAAAGGTATTTTCTGTGTTTGTGTGGTCTTTTCATTGCCAGCCAAATTTATCTGGAATGACCCCGATTCTGTTGCATATTGCATATAACAGACAACTACCAAAAAAAGTTAAAAAGAGTATTATCAATATGGTAAGAGAAGAGAAAAAAATGAAACACGAAATGCTCAACTGAAAAGAATGCAGAAAAAGAGTAAAGGCAAAGAAAAAAAGAAAAGCAATGAAGAGAAAACACGAACAAACATTAACAATATGATATTAATCCAATTATATCAATAATCACTTTAAACCTCAATGATCCAAATATATTAAAAGACATTGTAAGACTGTATTAAAAAAAGACAACTATATACTGTTTACAAAAAAACCACTTTAAATGTAAACAAATAAATTTAAAGGGAACAGAGAAAGACATGCTAACACTAATCAAAAGGAAGTTGGAGTACGTATATTAGTTTTATAAAAAGCAGACTTCAGAGTAAAGAAAATTATTAGAGATAATAAGGGTCATTACACAATGATAAAGGAATCAATTCTTCAAGAAGACATAACAATTCTTAATGTGTATGTACCTAATATCAGAATGTCAAAATACTTAAAAGGCAAAAACTGATGGAACTGCATGGATAAACAGATCAACCTAATAATACAGTTAGAGATTTTAACACCCTTCCACCAGTAATTGACATATTCAGCAGGAAAAAAAAAAAAAAATCAGCACAAACCTAGTTGAACTAAATATCGTCATCCATCAATTGGATCTAACTGACATTTACAGAATACTTCATCTGAGAACAAAAGAATTTATATTTTCAATTTGCACATGAAATATTTACCAACACTGACCATATCCTATACTATAAAATAAGATTCAGGGGCTGGGGATGTGGCTCAAGTGGTAGCGCGCTCGTCTGGCATGCGTGCGGCCCGGGTTCGATCCTCAGCACCACATTCCAACAAAAGATGTTGTGTCTGCCGATAACTTAAAAAAAAAAATAAATATTTTAAAAAAAATAAGATTCAGTAAATTTAAAGGAATTTAAATAATACAAAATGTTTTCTGACTATGATGAAACTAAATTTAAAACCAATAACAAAAAGATATCAAGGAAATCTCCAAATATTTAGACACTAACATACTTCTAATAATCTATGATTTAAGGAAGAAATCAAAGGAAAAATAGTGTTTTGAACAGAATAGAAATGAAAGTGCAACATGCCCCAATTTTTGGAACAGAGAGCCTTGAAATCAACCCTCACATCAGTGGTCAAATGATTTTTTATATGGAGGCCAGGACCAGTCATTTGGGAAAGGGCAGTTTTTTCAATAAATGATGATAAGAAAACTGGATATTCACATGCAAAAGAATTAAATTAGGCCCTCCCCCATGCCAAAACCAAAAATTGATTCAAAGTGGATCAAAGACCTAACTAAACATAACAGCAAAGCTATAAAAGTCTAAAGAAGAAAGTATAAGGGGAAAATTATATGGGACATTGATTTAGCAATCACTTTTTGGATATGACACTAAACCACAGGCAACAAAGAAAAAAGAGATAAAATGGACATCAAAATGTAAAACTTTTGTGCACCAAAGGACGAAACCAATGAACAGGAGAAAAGTATGTGCAAATCACATATCTGATAAGGATTAATATCCAGAATATATGTAAAGAACTCTCATAACAACTATAAAACAATCAAGCAGTTTAATAGCAAAAACTTGAACGCTATTTCTCCAAAGAAGTTAAATGAATGGCTAATAAGCACATGAAAAGATGCTCAACATCATTAATCACTGGGGAAATGCAAATCAAAACCACAAGAATTAGATACTACTTCACATACAATAGGATGGCTGTAATAAAAAACAAAACCAGAAAGTAACAAGTATTAGTGAAGATATGAGAAACTGGAACCCTGATACAATGCTGATGGGAATGTAAAAATGGTACAGTTACTATGGAAAATTGTACAGTGATTCCTTAAGTAACTAAAAGTAGAATCACTATGTTTCAGAAATTCCACTTTTAGGGGGAAAGAATTCAAAAGAATTTTTGAAAGCAGGATTCAATTGGACATTTGTGCACCCATGATCACAGTAGCCTTATTCACAACACTCCAAAGAAGGAAGCAATCTAACTATCCAACAACAAATGACTGGATAATAAAAATGTAATACGTGTGTGTGTGTGTATAATAGATACATTATAGGTATGCAGATGCTCCTTGACTTACAATTGGGTTACATCCTGAACATGTTTTAAGTGTGTAGCTAACTGCAGCTCTGACTCCCTAGCATTGCAAGAAGACCCCACATCCATATGGCTAGTCAATGAAAAAAATTAAAATTCAAAGTACAGTTTCTACTGAATGTCCATCTCTTTGTACCATTGTAAAGTAAAAAACTCATATGTTTAGTCATTGCAACTCAGGACTATCTGTAAAATAGAAAAGAATTCAGCCTTAAAAAGGAAGGAAATTGTGACATATACTAAAATATGGATGAACCTTGAGAACAAGCTGAGTTTAATAAGCCAGTCACAAAAAGACAATATCTGATTCCAGGTACCTGAAGTAGTCAAATTCACAATAATAAAAAAGGGGAGGTAAAAGGGAGAAATTATTGTTCAGTGGGTATAGAGTTTCAGTTATACAAAAGGAAGTGTTCTGAAGATGAATAGTTATGTTATTTGCAAAACAACGAATGACTTAACACTACTAAATTTGTACACTTATAATGCTGCTGGCAAATTATGATTATGATAGCAAATTTTAGGTTATTCTATCTTTTTAAGTTATTCTATCACAATACAGAAAATGCAATTCACCATATTAACCAAAATAAACAAACAAAATCATAGGTATGGAAGATATCAAACACAAGAAGCAGCCTGGCATGGTGGCGCATGCCTGTAATTCCAGTGAATCAAGAGGCTGATGCAGGAGGATTACATGTTCAAAGCCAGCTTCAGCTATGTAGCAAGGCCCTAAGCAACTTCAAAACAAAAAATAAAAAGGGATGGAGATACAGCTCAGTGGTAAAATGTTCTCAGGTTCAATCCCTAGTGAGCCCCCTCCACCCTGCCAGACCAAAAAAAAAAAAAAAAAAAACAACCCAAAGGTAGTGGGAAAACCACACGTATGGTTTCTTGGATTACAGAGAATAAAATATTTTGAAGAAGTGGAAACGATCTATTGTCAAATGCTGCTGGCAAATCAAGTAGGATGAGGGCAGAGAGAGAAGTCACCACTGGAGGTCACTGGAGACTTGAGAAACTGATTTCAGTGAAATAACCCTGGGACAAAAGTCTGGGTTCAGAAAAGAATGGAAGGTGAGAAATTGGAAAGAGTATTATACACAATTTTTTTAGGAGTTTGCTTAAAGGAAGAACAGATAAATGGGGCAGTCAATACTACAAAGAGGAATTTGGGTTCAAACGAAATTTTACTTATTTTAGTTTTATATATATAGGTAGAAACTCAGATATCAAACATTTAAGAGCTACTTAGTAAATATTTATCCAGAATAAACTAGTCTCAAGATTAAGTTTGCTTAGCACTAGAGGTTACCATGTTACAATTTATTTTTAACTATCCTTCTTGCTGGCTATGTCCAAATTTCCCTATTATTATAGGGAAATGAATGCTGCAGCAATGAATCTTTGTTCATACATTTATATTCAGTTTTTAAAAATTTGGATTACATTGTTAGATGGAACACTGATTACTAGAGCAAATGT